ATTTGAGACAGTAAGCTACTTTCTGGTAATATATTAGGCATTTCTATAACAACTCTTTCAAGCAACTGAATGTTATTAAGTATAGTTTTATCTTCCTTTAATTAAACCTCTTAGGCAAACAATGGAACATCACAAGAGTATATATTAGAGAAAAGTTATGATCTTTAATCAGAATGGCTTATGATATTAAGAGCTAAGAACCTTGTAAAGTTTCCTTGAAATAGCCAGCTCCTCTAGTGTGTCTTCAGGATATACAGTGATTCACAAAGGAGGCATCACACGCATTGGTAGGAGCCCATTCATTGCATAAGCTGGGGCATACCTGCGTGGGCTCTGTGAGAGAAGGGAAGCCTCGCTACTCTGTGAGCAATTAAGGACTGACATCAGCATGGAAGGGCAAGGTAGATACTGTGTATCCCAGAGTCAGGTCGACACCAATATGATATGAATGATTTTAACGTGGAGTAGGCAAACTTCCAGTTCCCTCTGGTCTTGGCTGAAATAATGCACAGAGTAATGTACCAGAAATAACAATGGAGCCTGAAAATAAAACTTAAACATACTTTAAATCAATTAATCAAATTGCATGGATTCATGACGCCTTCTCAGAGGCCTATATAGTTTCTTAGATTGCTTCTGGAATGCCATCATAAGAGGGCTACTTTCCTCCCCCCTTACCTCTCCCAGGGATTCTTTCCCCCGTGACATATATCCAGTCATGGGTCAAACCTCCAGACCTTCCCTCTGACCCTTCCCCTGAGAGGTCTTCAGTCAGAATCTCCAACAAACCCCCAGCCTTGCCCAAGGTGTCCTCTCCTGCCAAGATGGTGTCTTCCTCTCAAAAACCTGGATGGTGAAAGGTGGTTATTATTTAGGATTCTCTAGAAAATNGAGAAGAACTATCCCAGGGAGAATCTGAGACATCTTGCCCACTTTCCTTCTTCTTGCTTTTTCCTCATCCGTTTCTTATATACCTTTCCTTTTTGGGGAGTTATTATGCCATTATTGCTAGTATTTATGTAAAGGGACTATTACTAAGTATATTTCTCTGTTTTCTCTGGTTAAGGAAACATTGAAGAATGTTGCCACCATATTACCTGGGCTGGGGGAGTGAGATTGGCCAGCAGAAACTGGGGGATGATAAACTTTCAATTATGACTTAATTATCACATGATTATAGAAACCTGTCTTATGTGCAGAAATAATTACATAACAGATATATCCAAAAGAGATACTTGCATTTTGTTAAAAAGTTTTACTATGACTGGAGTGAACCATGTATTTCCTTGTCTTTTACTTTTTCTCTGTGACATTTACGTCTCATGCAATTTGCATTACATTGGTGGGTTGTTCTAGTACTGTATTTGGCTTCTTCGTTAATAGATTATTTCATATATCATAATTGTAAATATTTTGATACAAATGTTTATAACACTAGGGATATATAAAGAGATTCTGACTCCCTTCACTGTGTGAATGTTTTCTTTCTTTTTCGGATAATAGCAACATTTAACCTTCACTCAGTTTCCTATCAGTTTGATTTGGACAATGTGACATTTATTTGAGACAGTAAGCTACTTTCTGGTAATATATTAGGCATTTCTATAACAACTCTTTCAA